CTTTCCCGTCTTTTGTCTGATCTCTATTTCTATCCCATCCTTTTTTTTTTGTATCTCCTCTCTCTCTCTCTCTCTCTCTCTCTCTCTCTCTCTCTCTCTCTCTCTCTCTCTCTCTCTCTCTCTCTCTCTCTGTGCCATCTCTTTTTTGTATAATCTCTGTTTCCGATATCATTTTTGTCTCATCTTTTTTGCGATGCTTTGTCTTCGCCTGTCTGGGCTGGTCTCGTCGCTTCTTCCCGCAACACATACAAAATGACTGCTAATGAAAGTTCTTTTGAGTTCAAAAAATCTTCCCGAATATAATCTTGCGTGTGAGCATATTTCTTCTCTCCAGATCATACTACTTCGTCTTGGAAAAGAAACGACAAGAAACACGCGCACACACACGGGGCCACACACATACACACACACACACACAGAGAGAGAGAGAGAGAGAGAGAGAGAGAGAGAGAGAGAGAGAGAGAGAGAGAGAGAGGAGAAGGTAGTCGGTCTCTATGCGGCTGGCGAAAACGGGAGGATCAGCGAGGCTTTCCGGGAAAAAAATCATTAGTGTTTATTTTGTAAATTGTTATGGCGGGAAAACGAGACCTGCTGTCGAGCTGCAAGATCACAGTTCAAATCAATTAAAAAAAAGAGAGACTGCAACAGGAAAAACTCGGAAAATCTACTGTAGTAACTGTACAGTATTTAGTATTTACACCCAAAAAAAATCTATACCGTAGTAAACGGCATGTAAGAAAGAAAATGCAGGAAAATCGGAAAGAAAGATCTAATTTATAGTATAAACACATTGAAAAACATACTTCAAAAAAAAAAAAAGAAAAAAGAAAAAAAAAAAGAGCAGGAAATAAAAATGCAGGAAAATCCAAAAGATCGGGCATCGTTTCTGCCGTGGCCGCCTCTACTCTACGCTACGCTTCGCTACTAGTAGGAATATTCGGAATTAATGTTGACGTCACCCCACTAATTTCCGAACGCTAATTCGGTCATTCTAGCTGGCTCTGCATTTGGGACAATTTTCCGTCCAGATCCGGCGATATCGACCGGGCGTTCTATTATTCTGGTGAAGGCGGTAAACTCGGGTGATAACAGAGAGAGCCCGTAGCAGAGATCCAGCATATTGTATTCCTGTTATCGGGGATTTTATCGCCTTAAGTGTACGCGAATAGAACGCCCGGTCGTTATCGCTGAAAAACGTGGATTGAAAATTGCCCTGCCCCAAATGCAGCCAGCTATAATGACCGAGCGTTCTATTCGGTGGAAAAGACGGTGTTGACGTCCCAGGATAATGCCGGGTTGAAGTGGGCGGAGAGTATGAAACGGGCGATGACGATAGCGATGGTAAGGGTGATGGCGATGACTGATGACGATGGCGATGGCGATGGCGATGGCGGGCCAGGTGTGTGCTATAGCGATGCCCCGGTGGCAGGAGCAGGCGATGACGATGGCGATGGTGATGGTGATGGCGATGTTGATGGTGATGGCGATGTTGATGGCGATGGCGATGGCAATGACGGGCCAGGTGTGCGATAGCGATGGCGATGGTGGGAGGAGCTACAGGGGAATAATCTGTAATCTGTTTCGCACTTCGATGATTTTTCCTTTTTTTTTTTTTTTTTTTTT